ATCCCTAGTGCTGAGATTATAGGTACATGCCATGTGACCTGTAGATTACCGATATGTGCCTGGAGTTTTATGTGGGTGCTAAGGATGCAGACTCAGATCTTTGTGCTCGTGTAGCAAGCATCTTTCCTATTATTTAAATCAGAAACTTGGGTATTGTCTTTTATTTAAAATATGGATTCTTGGACCCACACGATGAGGGATAATCTTACAGAGCTTGCATTGTCTGGAGGTCACCAAGGAGGCTGAGAATATCTGGATATGGTCATGCCACACTTACTGAAAGAGGCATAACATTGGGATTGGGGGTCAGAAGAGAACAGCTCCCAGTTATTCTTAAAACCAGTGGTGCTTGCCTGGAGTGTGCCTGTTACTGGTTACTGGGAGTTGTATGATTGTTCGACCTCCATGGGCATTTGCGTTGTCATGATTATCTGTCAGAGCTGTTATGGGAAAGAGATGTGCTGGACCACACATAGTCACCTTTTAGTTTGTATGATGGTGTAGGAAAGTATCATAGTATTCTACTGTGGTTACAGTTTCTGTATTTAAACAGTAGCATGCTGACTTAACAGAGTCACTCCCTGTCCTTATATGATGTTAAACATTCTCAAAATCACCCAGGTATCAATAGAAAGTGCTTTAAAGGGTAAGGTTGGGGTAAAAACCAGGCAGGAAAGGCATTGAGTGGACAGTGACATCTCAGGTGTGAATGAGACTCATGTTGCTTAGAGTCCATAGTGGGAAGTGTTCTGAAGCAAAGCCTAATTCAGCAGGACAGCAGGATGCTACGTGGGTGTGGAAACTCAATTGTAACAGGAACAGATGGGATACAAGTGCTTTCTCTGGACTCCACCTAAGCAAGATAAAAAAGCCGTAAAGACGACACACTGAACATAAAGCCACCATGGGCACTGCAGAGGGGACAGGAAGCTGAGCCTGGGAGGAACAAAATCCAGAAATCCAGAGAACGTTACCCTTGCCTCATTGTCAGTGATGACAAGACTTCTTCAGGGCAGTGAGTTCAGGCCTTGGCCTTTTAAAGCATCTTGTTAAAAAATCAAATTAGACAACAAATTGCAGAGTATAACTTCTGATCAGAACACCACAGCCTGGGGTGGAGGAAGCTTACTGTATGTGTCTCTAGAGCGCCACGTGGCTAATGGCGGAGTCCTAAATCACTTCCTACAGTGGACCCCAAATTTCAGTGTTATGGGGGCATTTGAGTTGTCAGCCAGTTAAGAAAATATCAGTATTATGGGTCATGAAATGTCAGTCAGTTACACTGGAAATAGGTCTTTCATATACCTCTATATCTAAAATACCATAGTTCTTCTCTTACTCAGCCATTCTGTAGATATCTGTGAAGTGCTTTCCAATGTGTCAGGGACTGGGCTAGGTAGATCCCAGAGGCACAAGAAGAAGCAAGATGAATGTGTTCCTACTGTCAGGGAGCAATGGGGTAGCTGTTTACCGCAGCGTGAGTGACTGTGACCACAGTGACCTTTGCACTCCCCTTGCTCCATCTCTTCACAAGGTGACCACAGCTACTGTCATCACGGGGCAGAGTCTTTCCCTCCCGCCCATTCGAACCCAGGCTGATGGGTTGTTTTGGTGCATCGTAAGCATGGGTGTCACTTTGTCATTTACTTTAGGAACTATGCGTGTGTGGGTGGGTGCACGTGCATGCAGAGACCTGAGGTTCATATTGGGAGTCCTTCTCCATCACTTTCCACCTTGCTAATAGAGGTAGGGTCTCTCAGTTGAGCCTAGAGCTCACTGGCATGGCTGGTTTCCCCAGCCCGCTTCCTCTGGGGATCCCCTGTCTCATGCTTTCCCACAGTTGCTCCCCCATCCCTCAGCATTCACATGGACTCTGAAGATCTGAGCTCTGGTTCTCATGCCCGTGTAGCAAGTACTTTTGCCCTGGCCACTTTGTCTATTTCTGTCACCGGGCCTAAAAAGGCCTGTTCTCTTTTCTCTTCTTTAGAACCTGTGGCCGGGATAAAAACAAGTTTGTGATAACATTCCTGAGGAAGAGAGTCTGTGGATCCAGTCATTCTGGCTGTAACTGTCTTAGATCAGGTGACTGATAGCCTGACGGTGGTGGGCTTGAGTGAAAACAGCTAAAACTCAAAGCACGGGCAAGCCTGGCCCAAATAATTGATGGACCATAGAGTTGTAGTCTGCATAGATGGCTGCTTCTAGACTCTAGGTATTGGAATACTTTGTTGCATATGAAAAGCTAATTAGATGCCTTCAGCTGGAATGTGTGACCCCAGGTTTATGCTGAGCATAGAGCTTTCCTGTAGGGTTTATCAAATTACCTTGGTAACTGCCAAATCGTCAACGTCACTTTGAGCTGTGTGGACATGGCCTCAATGCTCAGCTGTCACAATATAGACACCCTGGGGAGGTTTGACATTGGGTCTCTGGTCTGCAGAAGTTGACTAATGTGCTTGACGTGTGACACGTGGCATATAATTTATATGTATTTTGGAGAAAACACAAACAGACAGAACATAAACATTGATCACCATGACAAACTTCTCATACTTGTAACTAAAAAGTTCCCACCAATCCAACTAGCATCGCTTCCTAACAGGGTGGCTATTTTAAACAAATGAACGAATGAATAAACACGAGAACCCACAGCCACACCACACCTGCTCATCAGATTGGGACTCTGAGTGAATCTAATAATTCCCATTGGCCACATGGCCCGACCTCCTTCGGATCAGATTGGGAATGTCTGCCTGAAAATGGCCAGCATGGGATTTCCCATCGTTCCAGACACCTTCACCTGACTGCCTTACCCCTAAAGCAGGGCACGCCTGTAGAGATGGGCGTCAATTTTCAAGTGTCAGGGCATCCTTTCTGCTCCTTGCAGCTTCTCTTCTGGGTCCAGCTCTCCCAGCTGGGCCCCTGGGAAGTAGCCAGTTCCAGGCTAATGTGCTTCTGTGTTATCTGAGGCTGCTACACAGTGGTAATGATAAGTGCTAATTGGATGTATTTTTAAAGCAAACCTTTTAGTTGCTTAGGACAATTAGCTCCCCCTCTACTCTCTGGCTGTGCAAGAACTACACTGATGTGCAAACACTGCATTTGGAGGGGAGTCGGAGGCAGCCTTGGAGAAGCTGTTTAAGGCAGCCAAGGGCTGAACCAGAGAGGTGGGGGCTGTGCTTTCCTTAGAGGAGGGGTCAGGGTGGGTCAGGCAGGGTCGAAAGGCTCAACCATGTCCTAGAGTGAAGTTACCAAGCAGCCACACCCCTGTAAGCCTGGGAGGGAAGACACAGCGTGACATTTAGGGAGGGGAGGAAGATCCCAAGTTTCCTTATTCTCATCCTTTCCTGGAATGAAAGTAAAATATATCACTGCAAAGAATTTGAGGCCCAGCTTGGGACAGGTGGTTTTAAATGGTTTCAAATTGTGTTCTCTAGTAGGTTACCCTTAGGTTTGAGGGGGAAAAATCAGTTTTAAATCCTTACCCTTTTAAAGTGACCTGTAAGAGTTTGAAAGCCACTAAAAAATGAGGGACTTAGAAAAAAGGTTCAGGCGATATGCCAATGTGGATGACAACGAGAGAGGTGGGCGGGACAGAGGAGACACCCGGTTCATTTTTGGCTTCGATTTCTGAGCTGGAAGCAGGGAGATGAATTTGCTAATATTTGCCTTTGAGATGGGGATGGATCTGCTACCAGCGTCCCATGTGCTCCAGGGGAACTGGCTCACATGTTTGTGTTAGCCACGTTGTCTCCGTTAGGTATGTGCGTTCATGTCTCCTGAGGTAGACTCATGGCTGTATTCCACGACTATGAGGTCAGTTAGAAAGTCTGAGCCCTGGCTAGGCTGGGTAGCCATAGCTGGGGTTAAAAACGGACAGTGAGAGATGAGCATGATGCTGAGTCAGCAAGTGGGAGCGGCTGCCACTGTAGTGGCCAAGGTCTTCCCCTAGCTGCTCCTCCGCCCAAGGTCTTCCCCTAGCTGCTCCTCGCCCAAGGTCTTCCCCTAGCTGCTCCTCCGCCCAAGGTCTTCCCCTAGCTGCTCCTCTGCCCAAAGTCTTCCTCTAGCTGCTCCTCAGCTGGCCTCTGGAGTCTTTGTGTAGGAAGCTTCTGCCCTCACAGCCCCGCCCCCTGAGAACAGGAACTGGACCCGAAGTGTGGACCCATGTGTTTACTTCACCGGAGGCTTGAACTCCAACTCTGTGTTATAAAATTATATACACTGATTTTTAGATGTGGGAGACATTTTTGGAACACTTACTAATTTAAATTTGTATTAATAAGTAAGACATATGTGTACTGCCGTATTAGGCTAGATGTCGAATTATTACAAGGTGGTGAATTAGGGAGTTTTGAGAGTATTGGGGATAGGATTGGGATTAGCACAGGGAGTGTTTAAAATTGATTTTAACATATTAGCTAGGTAACATGCTGGTTTTTGTTCTAGTGTTCAGACACCAGACTCTACAAACCAAAGCCTTAACAAACATAGGGATGGCTACACTTTTTTGTTGTTTGTCTTTTCTCTTTTGCCATGACACTGATTTTGGGGAATATTTTGTTATCTGTGACCACAGTGGACAAGGCTCTTTAACCACAGAAATGGAGTAGAGTTGGCTTTTAAGTGGCAGAGACATTAGGGTGATGTTGTTGGGATACAGAAAGTTTTTGTGTGAAACAAAGACTCCAAAGTAGGATTACATGCTGTGCTAAAACTATTAATTTTGGCACGAAGCCAAGGCTATGAGGACAGTAACTTTTAGCAGCTTGGTAGATTGTCAGTCATCATATCTTTATGCCTAGGTGAACATATACACTTACACTGAGCACATTTATGTGACACATCTTTCTGACACCAAGAGCAGAATTCGCTCCCCTCCTCCCTATTCATGGGTGTGGCCTCAATTCCCCAGTTACTGATCTCCTAAAGGATTTAAATCTTGGACTAGTACCGGGTGCTTTATTTTTTATAAACTACGTGTAATTCTAGAAAGCAAGTACCTGATGGTTCGTTCGATCCACTGTATTAGCCGTGGAGGGGTGGTCTCTAGTGTTCTGACGGATTCGAGTGGAGTTCTGCTGTTCGATCGTGGAGGGGGTCGGGATGCAGAATTCCCTGAAGCATCGTTTGAAGTTTTCGTCCAGGAACGCGTACAGAACCGGGTTCAGGCAGCTGTTTGTGTAACCCAGGGCGATGCAGAAGTGCCAGGAAACCGTCTGAAAGGTGGTCTCTGGGATCGTGATCAGGGCCTTGATGATGACGTAGATGTGAATCGGGGTCCAGCAGACGATAAACACAGCCACGACCACCAGCACCATCCTTGTGATCCTGCGTAGGTTCCTGTCCTTTTCTTTGGAGCCAGACAGCATGCGGACACTCTTGAGTCGCAGGATCATCAGTCCATAACATACGGTGATGATGAGGACTGGCATGATGAAGGCGAAGATGAAGACACAGATTTTGAGCAGGTTCTCCCAGTACCAGGTGGGGTGCGAGAACGTGAGGGTGCAATCTATCGACCCTGGAAGAAAAGAATTTTCAAGAAAAATTAGCAGCAACATTTCATTATGCTATTACTGGAGTTGCCTACTAATACCTTTGATCTGAGCTAAATGAAGGTTGTTGCTTACACAGACGGGCAAGGAAAGAATGAACGAAATTAAGGAAGAAACTCATCAGCAGGTTACAGAGAATTTACTTCCTTTTTCCTTCCTCTCCTACATTTCCCATTTTTTCTGCCCAGTTGGATCACATTAAGATTTTGTGAAGTCAGAAGTTATGTGCATTCCACAATGAATCAGACATTTGTGGGGTTTATGCTGTTACAAAAGCTGTAACCATTATCCAAGATGTCCAGGAATTTCCTGCTAATGACTGTCTCCCTTCCATGTCAGGATGGCAGCTGTTGTTAAGTCAAGACAGGCAAATTTTGGAAATTAAGAGCAAGCCTCAGTGAAACATTCTTTAGGCTTTAGCTACTTTTGGAGAAGCTATGCTCCCATTTATTCAATATTTTGATGAAATAAGTTCAGAGAAATCATCACTGTACAGACTTTGTTCTTATTAAAATACCCAGAAGGCCTATAATTACAGAGAAATCTTCCTGTGCCAGTATATTTAAAGACATTTTCTTTTTCTTAATTAACTAACTAATTTCCTAATTCATTGTGTAGTTTGACAAAGATATTGTACCATGAATTTTTCTTGGCTCAGGACATCACCAACATATCAGACTATAAATATATCCCCATCCCTGACTCAGGCCATGTTCACCCTTACCATGCCTGTATTTTGTGGTTGCCATGAACATTACAGGCAGACCAATGGCAGAAGAGATGATCCAGTTGCAGACATTGACAATTTTGGCGTTTCGGGGGGTACGGAAATCCAGGGCCTTGACTGGGTGGCAGACAGCGATGTAGCGGTCCACGCTCATGGTGCAGAGGGTAAAGATGCTGGTGAACATGTTGTAGTAATCTATTGAGATCACAATCTTGCACAGGATAGTTCCGAAGGGCCATGTTCCCATCAGGTAGTTGACACTCTGGAAGGGCAGTGTACTGGTCGCTAAGGCATCTGCCAGAGCAAGATTGAAAATGTAGATGTTGGTGGCTGTCTTCATCTTGGTGTATCTAGGAAACAGGAGAATAGTGGAGGGGTTATTAGAGACACCACCTGAGAGACAGGTGTCATTCCCTTAAGAAAACATCAATTGTTAATGGAAGACCTCAAAGTAATAGTTGACTGTTTACAACTAAGTACCCATGAGATAAATAGAAATTTCCCTAATTAAAATTTTTCCTTTCTATAAAATAGTTACTACAATAGAAAACATGGCAATTGTTGCTGTTGTTTATTTACTCGAGACAGTCTCATATATCTCAGACTGACCTTGCACCTGCTATATGGCATGGCTAGTCTTGAACTCATGACCCTCCTACCTATAACTCCCAAGTTCTGCGATCGTAAGTGTGCAGTGCTGCACTTAGCTTGTTTCCTTGTTTTTTTTTTAATGTGGCAACCAATGTGACTGATGCAATTATAATGGGGAACTACCAGAGAGAGGGTTGTGATTCTAAACATGTAAGAGAACATTTTAGATGTATGGGTAGATTGTAAATCATTGAATACTGTTTATAGCATAAGGATGTGTGTTTCTCTACACGCACATAGATACACATCGTAGGCACATCCATGTACTGGCTGCTAAGGAGTGTGGAAATGATCATTGGTGTTGAATGGGACAGGTGAGGGGCTGGTAAGGCGAAAACATTCCAGAAGCACACATTTTCTCTTACAGCTCAGGTAAGAACATGGTGGTATGAATAGACCATTCTAGAAGAACAAGAACTCCAGCCAAGGGGTAGAGTTGAAATGGTGCAATAAATATATTTGACATGCCAATGCATGAAATTCTACCAGGAAATGGCAGTGAGTATGGTGAGGGGGGAGTAATACAGAGACCAGGAAGTAGGGGAAATGTGTTGTGATAAATAAGCCTTCACCTGGTAGTGATAGAAATTTAAGATTTTTGCTTTATGTTTAAGGTGTTTATTGAATTGTTATTGACATGGAAGAAATTATACATAGTGGGTACAAATTTGGTAAGTTCTGACATACATGTATCTGTGAAATAACTGTCATCAAAATCAGTGTGTGGTTGCATGCATAAAAACCATGCTATATTGCTAAGAAGTTTTTCATTGCGTGACCATACCCCAACTTCTTCATTCAATCATTTATCAACAGGAAGTGATGGGCATACAGCTTTTGGCTATAGTATATTAATATACTGGGAGTGTTGTTTGTCTTGAAAACCTACAGAAAGTTGAATGACGAGGTCAGAATGCTGTGCAGAAGCATTTACAATAATAAATTAGATTGATGGCAGAACACTTCCTGTATATAGTTACCACCTATTGTTTCTCCCATTTAGTGTTTACATAGTCAGATTCATCAGTAGCATCCCAGCTTTACTCTGGAGAAAGACTCCTTTCCCATTCTCTATCTGTGAGCTATGTTATTAGTTCAGGGCATGGAGATGTTAAGAGATGGAGGGTCACAGGAAGGAGAGATGGCCTTGGGTTTCAATGGAACAACGATGTTTGATTTTGTTTTTTTACTTTGTTCACTTTGGCATCCAGTGTGATGGTGTGTAATAGTGAGGGGTATTTTAAGAGACAAGAGTAGCAGAGATCTTTAGGCTATGTGTTCAGGTTTTTTTCTCAAAATGAATTGACCTAGTCATTCTATCCCTGGTTGGTGCTTGAGAGACGAGTGTTATAAAAGGGCAGGAATGACCCCTGCCCAGCATCTTTCTGGGCTTCCTCTGGCCATTGCGGTACCTTCCTCTAGCATGAACATCAGCCTTGACATGACACAAAGAAGAGCTCTCACCAGAGCTGGGGTCATGCTATTTGGAATTTTGGCCTCTAACGTTGTGATCTGCATAGACCTCCTTCTGTTGTATATTATCAAGCCTAAGTTATTTTTCCATAAATATGGGAAATGAGCTAATTCAATAGCTAGAGTTTCCTCTCCCCCGCCCCCATGAAGGAAGGCTTAAAAAATAGGGAATCAACCCTGAGAGATATTATAGTCTATAGTTGGGAAAACTCATTTGAAAACAGGTTTTCAAAGACCCTGTCTAAGGATTTTAAAGAACACAAGAGAATGCAATCTTCGAAGCAAGGGCTTCCTTGAACTTTTTATTTATAGGAGATGGTAACTCCTTCCAAATTTCAGTTTGTGCTTCGAGGTTTTCTGTCAGGTGAGGTTAGAAATCTAACTCATTCAGCTCCAAACAGTTGATTTCTGTGGGATATGGTATTATAAAACCTCGGGTAGAGGGCCTTAATTCAATGTTCCAAAACTGTTTTAGTCTCCATGAACAGCAGGAAACTGAACCTTTAGACAATTTCCCAGACATCACCAGGACCAACCAGCTGAGACCATTTCCTGAGTTGCACTTTGGACACCTGGTTCCCTCTGCAGAACTTGCAGAATGACTGGGGGATTTCAGAGGCAAGGCTACCCTGAGTTGCTGTAGAACCACCACTTCCTGAAAGGGTTTTAATTATGCAAGGGTAGAGACAGCTGGTTAACTTGAGATAAGTCCGTGTGATTCAGTAAAGACCACGTACCTGACAAACATAAAGTAGATAATTTCAACAGAAGCAACCATTATGGAAATCAAATTATAATAGCGATTCTAAGCTTTGAAAACCACTCACTTTGATGTTCAAGAAATTGAAACAGTTTTGATGTTTTGATATATGGAAAGATTTTCCCCAAGGCAGAAAATGATTTTTTAAGATAAACTATTGATGACAGGCTTGTGATTCAAAGGCATACCTTATGACATTAGTCACACTCTAGAGAGAGGACCTTACGGCAGTTTCCTGACTCATTAAACTCTCAGCGTTTTCTTTAAACTTATTTGATCACCAGCTACTTAGAATGCATAGTTTATTTCAGTTAAAAAATCATTTCCTCCCTTGGAATGAGGTGTTTGTGAAACAAAATTTGATTAGCATTTATCCTGAAAAGAGAAGTGACAGGAGGGTATATTAATTTTTCCATCCCACAATGCCTATGCATATCACAGTATCAAATGTTATGTGGTTAATACCTGCAATATGACCTGTCAATTAAATGGAGCAAAGCAAATATTATAAAGATCTCTCCATTGGCATTTTATGGGAACACTGGTATTTAATTTTTCTTGCTATGTCTGTAGATCCTTCCTCTGAAGGGACCTGGAATTTTGATACCAGTTACTCATTCTTTGAATCCTATCACTAGCTTTCTAAATGTATGAAAGAGATTTATAGAGCCTGGAGGTTTGGTGATGCCTTCAACGTACTTCATCTGGAGAGATGGCTTGCTTGGGCAAGGTATTGCTACTCAGCAAAGGCATAGAATGAACGTGGTCCCAAGAAACTTAAAGGAATTACTAGACACACACGAGATGGCATAAGGAGTAAACAAACCAGAATTAGTAAGCAGACAAAGAAAGAAGCTAAATAAAGGACTGTCTTTGCCGTTGCCTTTGACAGAACATAGGGGATTAATATAATCTCTTCTCCATCCTTTAATGTTTCTGCTTCTTACTGTGCAAAGTGAATGGGAGTGAAGTGAAGGAAATGAGCAGGTACTCAAGGTGACTGAGCAAGGTATATGGCCTGGGAGACTGTCTTCTGGACCCTTCTTGATGATGGCTGCACCTTTCTCTACTAAACAGTGACCTAGATACCGTCTCTCTAGTCATCTTGTTAGAAGTTTCATAATAAATACTTAAAACATGTATTGTAAATGATTGATTGTCTATGTTCTGTAAATGTAAACAAAATTGCTTCAAATATTGTGCTCATCTTAGGACCATCAATGTTTGACTACCAGCGTATCTGTCTATACAACCCAGGTACTAGGTTGGGATGAGGCATTTCAAAGTCTCTTTTATTGGTACATTTCTACTCTCACATGGCACATGCATGTCTTTTGTTTGTAAGTGTCTATCCTTTGTATGTGGTTATAAAGCAGCTACTATATGTTGCTACATGCGTTCTTCATGTCATTTCCCCAATTATTGCTACTTTGTAAGACCTCACTGATTTCAGTTCAATAAGGGTAAAAGAAACTGCAGCAATTTAACTACCTGTGTGATGATCTACCAGTGACCTTGGCCAATCTTTCTTCTGTTTTTGTTTTTGAGTTAATTCTTCAAATTGTGATGACTCTTGGTTCAGAAGCAGAACCAACAAAGGAAGTCTGAAATCAGGGAGAATGTATTTTCCAGTTGGGTTTGATGACTTCATGTCACTTTTATCTTACATCCTTCACAGAGCTCACCCATTCCCCCATCATGCTTTAGGTATTTGCAGTAAAGCCCATGAGATTTGTAGAAGAAAAGTCTCCTTGCCTTGGGTCCCTTCTAACATTTTATCAATTTGAGCAAGGAAGGAAGAGGTTTAATTCAACAAGGCCTGGTGAGTTTCTTTTGTAAATTTGGCATGGAATTGGAAAAGCCTCCTTGTGATGGTGTGACCTTTGTGTCCATATCTCCCACATAGAAATCCATATTTTTAATGGAGGAGGAAACACTCTAATGAAACCCTTTCAATCTCATGATGAATGAGGCAAGTCAAATGAAATAAAAGTGTTTGTCCTACATTGCAGGTAATCATGCAAGCGGAGACACTGTCGAGTGAACACCTGCCTAAATTTCTCCATTATTATTCAGGCTGGAATGTGTATGAGTGGATGGGGCTGAGGAGAGGCAGGAAATGAGGCGGGGGAGAGGAATTCTATAATAAGTCACAAAGGAAAAACTATAGTTTTCCATGACTAGAAAGAGGACATATGGTAGTTTACTATTTCTACTACCTCAGTTAAGGAGGAAACAGAGATCCCTCTGTAAAATGCTTAAGCATTTCATTTGTATCTTCTACAGTCATGGTCCATGGCTATTGATCCCGTTTCCCACAAGTCAGTACTAGCAGAGTATAGTCCAGTGACCTCGGAAAGGTGATTGATTTGTCACTTTGACCCCAAGAGAAGACAGATGGAAGTTTCCAGAAAATTAAAGAAGCATAACCTTCCAGTGGCGAATTAGCAGTTCTCCATGTGTCCC